GGGGAATGCAAAGCAGAATGTCCTATAATATTTCTTTTTTAATTCGTTTCTTTGCCTCATTTCCGGAAATGCAAAGTAGAATGACCTACAATATTTTATTTGTTTCGCTTCTTTGCTTCATTTCAGGGAATGCAAAGTAGAATGTCCTACAATATTTTTTTTTTTCGCTTCTTTGCTTCATTTCGGAGAATGCAAAGCAGAATGCTGCATTGTAGAATGAATATCCAAAAATTCTTTTTCTACCGTTACTTTCTGTGGAAATTTGTCTCGCATAAAAATCATGTATTGCTTTGTTCAATTTGCAGCGAAGTTGAAGTCAGTCAATGAAGTGAAGTACAAGAGTGAGGAAGTACAATTTTAAACTTAGTTAAATATGCATGTATGAACATACCGATTTTTAGGAAAATCTAAATACCTAAATAAATATATATGTTTGTATAAAAGCTGATTTATAAAAATTTTAATTAATTTGAATCATTTAAGACATTTTCTGATTTCAATTTAATATAAATAAGTATGTACTTATCTAGGCATTCTACATTAGTTTCTCGTAAGGCATTCTTTGTTCGCATCTCTGGATTATGTTTATCCATGCGTTCTCCCTTCGTTTGAAGGGCTTACCTCCAATGACATACCCATGTTAAAATAAGGCCTTCTTGAAGCGAAAGGGTAATCGATTCCCATCGCCTAGCTCGTTTCCACTTTCGTTTCTGTGGTAATCGTGTTTTTTGCTGGGTAGAGACTGAAATGTCAGTACGGGACCACAATGGAAAATGGGCTCGGAGTGACGCAGAAAAAGGCAACACCTTTGCTGCTCATCTAAAAAATGTTTTTAGGCCAAACCCCGCAACTAATGACTTTCAACTACCACCCGTACCCAATGTGTCAAAATGTGAGCCGCTGAAATTTGTACCTGAAAAAAAAATCAAAAGTAATTAAAGATGAACTGCAACCAAATAAGGCTCCAGGGCACGACTCAGTAACCCCAAAAATGATTATTGAGCTACCAAATTGTGCTGTAAATACTATGCATCTGTATGCTCTTTAACGCAATCACAAAACATTGCCAATCCCTCACCAATGGAAAAAGTGGACTATTGTGATGATACCAAAGTCCGGAAAGGACAAAACGCAGCCATCTTATTATAGGCCCGTCAGCCTGCTACCGTGTATGTCGAAATTATTCGAAAAATTTCTTATGCTGCGCATCTCCCCACATCTGCAAGCCAGCAACATAATATCACTTCACCAATTTTGCTTCAGGGAAAAACATGGAACAATCGAGCAAGTAAATCGCATAACAACCGAAATCCGAACAGTGTTTTAAAAGAGGAAATATTGCGCTGCAATATTTCTTGACGTCGCCCAGGCATTTTAGCGCGTCTGGCTAGACGGTATTATGTATAAAATACAAATTCTACTCCCACAAAGCACACACAAACTGCTTAAGTCATACCTTTGTAATCGAAAGTTTGCAGTTCGATGTAACACCACCATCTCTGAAGCTCATGCAATCGAAGCTGGAGTGCCACAGGCAGTGTCCTTGGCCCGATGCTGTATGTCTTATACACCGCGTATATTCCTACAAAAGACCGCCCGATAATGCCGATAACACTGCCATAATCAGTAGCTCCAAGTAACTGCGCTCCTAGGCAATCATATGGAAGCTGTTGCCAATTGGCTCGCAAAGTGGCGAATAAAGGTTAACGAGCAAGCTGAAGGCTAATTCTCTCCACTGAATTATTAGCTCTCGTTTACCCCTGGGTCTGGAGTATAAAGTGCACTGTATTTACAATACAGTTTTAAAACCGATATGAACCTATGGATGTAAGTTATTCAGTCTATTTTTCAGCTGACTACGATTCAGCATTCTACTTTGCATTCCCCGAAATGAAGCAAACAAGTGAAACAAATAAAATATTGTAGGACATTCTACTTTGCATTCCCTGAAATGAAGCAAAGGAGCGAAACAAATAAAATATTGTAGGACATTCTACTTTGCATTCCCCGAAATGAAGCAAAGAAGCGAATTAAAAAAGAAATATTATAGGACATTCTACTTTGCATTCACCGAAATAAGACAAAGAAGCGAAATAAATAAAATAGTGTAGGACATTCTACTTTGCATTACCGGCAATGCCAAAAATAAGCGAAAAAATTCTAAGGTATTATAACGCTATGCCTTCTAGAACACGTTACCACTAAAAGCGATTACCGATTTTTTGCTGGGATATCAAGCAACATTCATGGGCCTTCAACAAGTACTGCTAGAAGTCTTATAAGCAACTTAGAAATTATTTTAGATTCCTTCAGCGAAAGCGAAGGCTTGGATGTAGAATCTGGAGAAATTAAAAAAATGTGAAATTAAAGCTCAATTGAAGGCTTATCTTAAAAAAGACCAGCTCATCTCGGTGAAAATCCTCTCGATTGGTGGAAAACTAAACTAAAATACGACAAATTGACAGATCTGGCCCCCAAATATTTGAGCGCTCCACCCGCCAGCGTTCTAAGTGAGCAATTGTTCAGTGCAGCCGGCCTGATATACAAGTCTAAGAAATCGCCTAATGGGAGAAAAGGCAGCAAAATTCCTTTTTTTTTAAATATAGGGTACGTTCAGAAAAGCATCAAGCCAAAGCATCCGAGTCTTGTATATCTAAACTATAATTGATGGAAATATTTGCGCAACTAAGTTCCAATTAGGCTTTTAACCGTGGTTGCGCATATTTGACATTTCCATCAATTATAGTTTAGAAATAAAATAGACTGATGCTTTGGCTTGATACATATCTAAACGAGCCCATAATACGCCCCTTTTGAACTTTGACTACTAGATTAAAACCCTGTATAGGTTAAGCACTCGTTCAATGTTCTAATAATTTACAAAATTTTTAATGGTGATTTCGTTTATATTAAAAAATGTCACCTTTTGATTGCCCCTTTCTCGTTTTGTGTTCGAATCTAAATTAAAGGCAAAGGGTTAGAAAATTTTGTGTTCGTTTCTTAAAATGTCACACTCTTGTAAGACAAAAAAGGCACATTCGCGAATGTGAAAAATATGACATTCGAAACATCCCTAGTATGTACCTACATATATGCATGTGCGTATGTAGAAAGAGAATATAAATACAGCGTGGCGACGAATAACTGTTACCCAGGTTTTTCTGAGAAATAAAAGTGTCCTTTATAGATTTTGCGAAAAAAGTATTTTATTGTTAATTTTCCACAGATTTTACTTTAGTTGTATTAATTAGTTTTAAAATTTTAATCCTTATTTACATTTGCCAGCAGTGTAAACTTTGAGAGAAAAGTTCATTTGGCACGCAAGTCTTTTTCAGGTGTATTTTTTCTTAGGCTTTGTATAAAAAAAAGTACAAAACTGTATGAGGTTGGTCGAATGAATGGCCGTCCTAGTCACCAGTTCCGAGTCTATTCGATTTTTGAGGTCTTAGGTTGGACAGAAGGGGGAGTATAAGGGACTCAAAATGGAGAAAATTAGCCTATGGTTACAGAAGATATGGAATAAATTAACTGACGAAGACCTCTACGCCAATTACCCTCCCCAGTGAGGTCTTTGAGAACTTTCCATTGTTCGTAGGCTGCTTGGGTTGCGTTGTGCAAATAAAGTACGTTCTGTAATGTGGCACAATGGCCTGCGATATTAACCGCATTAAGCACCTAATAGGATTAAATCCAAACTGGAAAGAAATCTTTCATCCATTTTATTTGTATTCAAACTGTTTTCTTCTTGGTTCCGTTACCATGAAAGGTTTGTATATGTGCCTAAGTGACCATATTATTTAATGGAAAATATAGAATACTTTTTTTGAATAATTTGAGTTTTCACACATGTGGTAATATTTCTCGTAGCAACAACGAATAAAAACGGGCATTTATTTAATGGTTAATTAAAAAAATTATGGATGTTTAGAAACTATTTAGTTCATTTTCTGTACTTGTGCTGTAACCAAATTTTTGCCGATTCCTGATTCCAAAAAAGCAAGCTAAACGTTTCTCTCTTGTATCAATGCAAATTGGAAATGAAGCCAAATTCTTCCCTACCTTTTCTTTCCACCACAGAGAATACCTTTACGGAAGCAGCAAATCACATCTGCCCACTTTGTGGCTTCTCTTCAAATGAATGTCAGCATCCACGATGCACAGTGTGGAAATTGAACTTTTTTTGTGACAAAATCTAATATCTCGGGAACGAGAAGAACTAGCGAGATAGAGAATTCAGGAAAAATAATTTTGCTGATAAAAACTTAACTTGACCAAAAGCTTGAAAATGTTAAATTTATTTCGATAGCGGTTTTGTCACGAAAAATTTTAAATTTGTACACGGTGCGGCGGCGGCCGATGTGTGAAGTGGTTAGAAGTGCGCACTACCATTCCTCAGGGCCTGGAATCGAACCCAGTTTCCGACTAACATTAAAAACAAAAGAAGAGGAAGCGGCAGGCAATGGCAAACCTATCTATCTATTTCTGCCAAGAAAAACCACTTCTAAAAAAAACTACTGTCGCCATTCGGGGTCGGCGTAAAACTTTAGGTACCTCCCCTTTTGTCTGACAAAATCGAGGCGCACGCCATGAGTCGGGCGAGAAGCTCGGCCCAACACTTACATATTGTGTAAGATCAACTGGGAAGAAATCGAAAGCAACGACAATTATCAAACATTTTTTAACTACCTAAATTTCTATGAAAAATATTTTCAGTCAGCCTTATCATGAGTTTTATTTTCACTTTTGGTTTCCATGGTTTTACTTTGGGCGGATGACAAATTTTCGGGTGAATTGTATTTCAGGCGAAGCTCAGGATAAAGCAAAGTATTTTCAGGCATCTTGTTTTTTACTTTTCTAGTCAACGAAATTCGCCTAACGTTTCTGTTTGCTTTGCCCTTGAGTAATCCTTAATCGTATTTTCAGCCAAAATTCCAAAAATATTTTCAACCGTTTAAATTTGCTCAATACCTTCGTTCGATATTAACACAATATCTTTACAGATGCGTGGAATTGGATTTTTGGAATGGCCGCACCGATGAACCAGTGATTGTACACGGCTATACTCTCGTTCCAGAAATTAATGCCAGAGATGCGTTGGAGGCCATAGCTGAGAGCGCATTCAAAACATCAGAATTTCCTGTGATATTGAGCTTTGAAAACCATTGCAATCCAAGGCAACAGGTAAGCATGGAATAAGTTACAAATCTCTAAGGGTATAAATATGTTAGCAATACAATCTCAAAACATTCTCAAAGGGCACTATCTAACAAAAAACTCTCTATTAATAACAGAAAATCATTTTTGATAACTTTTTTACTGAATATTAAAGAGTAAGTACTTTTTAATTAATTAAGAATAATAGATAATGTATTGTAGCAGGCCTATTTTGAATTGATTTTACGAGATACGAAATTGTAGTGGTTTATGAGCAGAGGTGGGCACTACCACAAACAAACGCTCGCTAGAAGTGAGAATGTGTTAGTGCGCCTATGTCCCCAGTAGAAATCTTAATCATACAACATCGCTGTTGGTGGCATGAGCTTGCTGCTGTGTATACATGCCAGTATAAATGAACCTTCATTTCCATTTAACACGCGTGGTTTCTCAGAGCGTATGCGTACCTTACTCATATACTTGTACTACTGCTGTATGCATATACAGCCATATGCATAATGTTTCAAACATACAAAAATGCATTAATGGAACAGTATTAAAGCATTCTTGCAAGATATGTGTTCCCATATGTAAATGCTACTTTTCTGATACATTTTAATATACGGGGACATACAAACAAGTAGCATTTACATATGCAAATGCATATCTTGTAAAAGCCCGTTTGTGCTGAAAATAGTATCGCACAACACGCTCTTCCTTGTATACGTACACGCGATGTTTACGCTCTTTGAACGTGTGCTCGTTCTCTGCCCATGCCTGTTTATGAGATACGAGGTTTTGCCCATGGTGTAATAATAACAAGGTGTTGTCAGTAACTTAACCTCACTTTTTCGGCAGGTCTATTCCGGTCACGCATTTTAAAGTAGTAGAAAAGGTAGGAATTATTTATTTATTACTTTTAATGCGTTTGTGCATACTATTTCAAATTAAATGTAGGAAAATGTATAGTTACAGGGTTATAAGCCTGAATATATGTTTGTATCGTTAGCTCCACACAGCTTGGACATATATTGTAAGTTATGAAAAAGTAAAGGCCGTAAAATAAAGCAATTTCCTATAAGACTGTATATTTTTTTTAAATAGATTAAAACACATAAATATCGATAATATAAGCGAAATCGTAATCTAACCATGCTGCCGCTCTATTCTAGTGTATCAGTAGTCCATTTGGCTCGATATTATGACAATGCAGCAAAAGATATTTAATATAAAAAGTCGCCTTTCCATACGATGATTTTTGTGTACGTATTTTTCCATTGATAACCACGATATCTTTTATATTTTATATTTCGAGCACAAAAATTATACAAATCCAGCAATTTTAAATATTAATATCGTTCTGAAAACACCAAGTTCTTTAAAAATCGCTATAAAACGAAATACTAAAATGGAGTATTTTAGATACTATTTCCCAACGAATAGTAGTATAAAAATGTAGATCGGCAGCACTGAAAATAAGCATGCCGATCTTGTCAAAATTACAACAAACACGTCGCTACTGACAACACCTTGTTATTATTCCACCATGGTTTTGCCAAAGTACCGTCGATATGTATGTACTAGAGGGCTGCATGAATGCATTCAAAACGGCTTATGAATTATTCATATACAAAACGAATGAATTATTTTGGCTTAAAATTTTTTTGAATTTGAGTGAATAGCTGTTCTGATATTTGTGTCGACATTACAATATTCAAGCAAAGTGAAAATAAATTGAATTGAAATAAATGACAATTTTTTGTATGAATATCCAAAAATATTTTTTCTATGCCCATACATATGTATAAACATACATATGTATGCATGTATGTATTGCTGCGCTCCTATTATATACGAAAAAACTTGTTTGTAGAAAAAAACTTTTACCGAAATGAGTTTGAATGATTTGAATGTTTTCTATTCATTCATTCACATTCTTCCATTTGAACGTAGAAAATATAAAACAAAATGTATATTCATAGCTTATAAAATTCCAAACGCTGAGTGTTTTGTATGTGAAATAAAATATTCAAATCTACTGTACTCTATTTGGCTAGAAGTTTGAATGAATTCATGCAGCCCTCTAATATGTACATATGTATGTATGTCGTTGCTTTAAGTCACTGCTGGGCACACCAACCAGTGATCGGACTTGAAAAAAAAATGTGTGTGGTAGAATCAGGAAAAAAATGTGGTAGATTTCAAAAAAATTTGGTAGATTTCAAAAAAAATTTGGTAGATTTCAAAAAAAATGTGGAAGATCTAAGGTTTTGGATCAAACTTTGTACGAAAGTTGAAAAAAATCTGCAAGGTTTCACATAAATTGCAAACATTTTAATTAGAATCTAAAAAAAATTTTATTTTAGTAAAATAAAGTGCAAGATTGAAGTTGCTAAAAATTGAGTTGACTTTTGGCAAATTTTTTCCTTGAACGTGTAAAGCAGTTCCTTCCATATAAAGATATTTTTCGAACATATTTTGAAAGATTTCTGCAACCTTGTAGATTGTTGCCAGCTTTTCTTTTTATCACATCACGATATAGCGAACAAATGTGGCACGTTCCAGAAACCGCTACTTGGGATTTGCCGATTTTGACAATTCTCAAGTAAAAGTAAACGCTTTAGAAACTTTAGATGCACTGAAATTTACTAATACTTTCACAAAAATCACCATTTTTTAACATTTTCGCTATTAATTATTTTTATAAATCATATATTTTGCCATTTAACACAACAAAACCACGTTTCCTGTCGAAAAATTGAATATTGAGAAAATTTAATATTTTACAGTTTATTTTATAATCCCATTCTGCCTGTTGTTCGTGTTTAGTGTTGGACAATTTTTGCTCTTAAAATTAAGAAAATTATGTCGAGCAAAAAAACGAGAACCAAATCGATCATGTTGTGATAGACGGAAGGCACGCTTCCAGTGTTTTAGACGTACGCACACTCCGATAATAATGTCAGCATTGAAATCCAACGCAGAATCACTCTTGCCAACAAGTGCTACTTTGGACCACGATCCAGAAAATAAAGGTCGCGCCATTGGCGGACCGCTAACCCTCTCTTCGTCGATTTGACAGCATCCACCCAATCGCTGACGTCATAAAATACTTTTGTTTACATTCACTGTTGCCAACTTGATGCTTTTCGCACCAAATTTAGTGGGTATTCAAAACGCAAAAATTTTTGAGTTTGGTGCTTGGTGCGTTTTTGGTGCTTTTGTTTTTAGTTTGAAGACATCAAATTAGGAAATCTTAAAAAAATGGAAGCAAAATTTATAGCAATCGTAAGTGTGGTAAGCAATTTTACAAACATTTAAACAAAATCATGGCACAGTGACAATCATAAGCGACAACGAAATATGTGCAGCACCTTCAATCATGCCAGAAGAAATCGACCGTTGTGCAAAAAACATTGATTTTTATTAATTTGAATCGGCATCCTTACAATAAAATTATGTATTCATATAAAGTCCATAAAATACACCAATAAAAATTTGGTGCTTTTTCAAATTCAAAACTTGGCAACACAGCCTTTTGTTCGATGCTCCCCCTGTTTCTTCTCGAGTTCGTCTTGCTCTTCGGGATGCAAATTTTCAGAGCCAACATCGATACATCGATATTTCGATGTATCGTAAACACTAACATCGATGCCGAAAAAAATCGCCCTAAAACTATCGATACATCGATATTTTCCGATGTTTCTCTTTTTTAATAAGTATGTTACAGGTACTTCATGATTTGCAGGTTTTTACAGGAAGCTGTTAACGTACGCCACCTTCCATAAGGTTTATTAATGGCGAAAACCGCTTTACTTGTAAAATCCTGAAATACCTGGAACTGACTTAATGCTTGTTAAAATTTCAAGAAACACCTAGTGTCCATCTAAACTGCTACATTGTTAACATTTCAATGGGTGGTTTTTTGAATTTAATTAGATTTCCTTCCAATGTCATAATAGATTTGCTGTTTACGCGCAGATAATACTTACACTCACCTTAAGTCGTATTGAAATACTGTAACTACATGATTCAATAATACAAGGTTCGATAAACTGACAGTTGTCTCTCTCGCACCGCTCCCTTAGCAGCGGCACCATGTTGCTTCTTTGCACATTTACATGGAAACAGTGTAGCTTTGGTGTGAAATACAAGTATGAGCGTTTGTGCAATATGTTTATTTGTATGTGCATATGAAGCATAAATAACTGATGAAAACATAAACTGTTTTTAAATTGGATGTTTACATCAATCTAATAGTAGTCTTATTTTAATTTTGAGGCAGTTTTTATACAGCTAAATAGCACATAAATTACGTAATTCACATAGATACATCAATATTACGTTCAACATTTCGTTTAAAATGCCAGATGCAAATGCATTAGAATTTACAAAAGGAATTTCACTACTAATTGCCTACTTTGCGTACGTTTCTACTATCATTTTCGCACCAAGAGATTTCATTCCTCTCCTTTTCTCCGTCCTTCGTAAATGCAACCTTTTGTAAGGGAGTGTCAAACCGCAGCTGTCAATAATTATCTAACCTTGTATTATTGAATCATGCTGTAACTACGTCATGGAAATCGCCTATGTTGAACGTTGCCAATTGCTTTTATTAAGTACATGGCTGCCATCACCCGTAATACGCTTACCCAAAGGGCTCTGTCCCACGGTCAGTAATTATCACGATATTTGGATCGCGATCCGTATTGATGGATTGATGGATCGCGCACGAATGCTACATGTTCAATATTTATCGCGTCAGTATTTGCATATTTTTTTTGGTGAACGCTTATTATGACGTAAGAAAATATTTTTATTTTGTACGTATAATTTACAGATAATGCATTCCACAATTATTTTAAGATTTGTTCAATTTGTTTTGAAAGATTTGAAGCCCCGAGAGTGAAGGCAGAGCCGATGTTTACATTATGAGAGTAAAAGATGTACTGAAGAAATGTATGGATCGCGTTTTGAAAGTGCTACACGTTCAATATTTTTAACGGTATTGCGATCCGCGATCCAGA